AGAGAGAGAGAGGAGTGAGGTGGAGGCATTGTAATGTTGACTACAACGGGTTTAAAGAGTATTTTTAGATTTGGAAGAAAACTTCGTCGAGTGTAATAAAGTATGCTTCGTTACGGCCAAAGTTATCTCATTTCATCTTATCTCATCTCATCTTATCTATCTCATCTCATCTCATCTCATCTCATCTCATCCCATCTCATTCCACCCCATCCCATCCTATCTCATCTCATCTCATCTCATCTCATATCATCTCATTTCATCTCATTTCATCTCATCTCATCTCATCTCATCTCATCTCATCTCATCTCATCTTATCTATCTTATCTCATCTCATCTCATCTTATCTTATCTCATCTCATCTTATATCTATGGTCTTCTTTTACTCTGTTATTTCTGTCTGTCTGTCTATTTGCTTTGACGTACGCTAAATGACCATAATCGTGTCGATGTCTCTCTCCTTAGACAAACTCAAACCGACGAGAACGGACAGTAGTTCATAAAACCAAGACAGGTGAGTTTCGCTGCCGCTCATCAAACGGACCTTGAACCCTTGCCCCCTTCGTCCAAAAGCAAATCAATTGCCAAAGATTAAACTACTGCACCTATCTTCTTTTTTTAAAAATCCCTACCGTATTTAATTTGATAGAAGAAAAATAAGGACCATATTATTATTATTATTGACCTATCCATGTGGAAGACAAATATTCTTAATTAAGACAATTGTTCTGCCTAGTACAGTAATACATGAACGTAATATTACACTGTAACATAAATAACGCAACTGCAGTGTTAATGAGTTATATCGGTGCACTGTTTATGTCAATATCTTCACAGTGGCACACATATACACATACATACACGCACATACACACAATCACATACACACATACACGCGTAGACACACATACATACATACACATTCACAGACACACACACACACACACACGCACACACACACACACACACACAATAATACACACCCACACATACATATTATGCACTAACATTGGCTGTAGAATAAACTGTAACTAAATCAATGCATATTCTGAGAGTGAGTAGAGACAATAGGAAAATTGTGTGGACAGTAGTTTTCTCAATTAAGTCCTCTCAACAATTAAATAAAGAACTCTGTAAAAATGACAGAGCATGAATTATCGAGAGGTATAAAAGCTTTCTGAATTTACAAGATCAGCATTACACTAGATCACTTCAACCCCAGTACGCAAAAAGGTATTAAAAAATTGGTTAGCAAACACACACACACACACACACACACACACACACACACACACACACACACACACATACACACAATTCAACATTAATTTGTTGAAAAGAGCATTAAGATGTCGATCTTCGTCCTTCCCATACATACATTCACACGCACATACACGCACGCACGCACGCGCACACACACACACACACACATACATACACACACACACACACACACACACACACACACACACACAACTGCGCGCACACCCATGGGCACAGATAATTCATGGCAGACCAACAATAGTTGGCACAATTATTCTTTAAGAAGCTGAGTTTGCACTTTAAGTCTTTAAACACACACAGAGAAAATAGGTTCAATAATAGCTAGAGGAGAATAAATATCCAGAATACCCAGACATTCAGGGACAATGAGAGACAAAACATTAGTAATAGCTATGGTAACGACATACAGACACAAAAAGAACAAAGGCATTCAGAAAATGACAAGAAAGATATTCAGAAACGACAAAACAAAGACATTCCGAAAGTGATATGATAAAGACATTCAGAAACCACAAAAACAAAGACATTCAACAAAGACATTTAGAGACAGGGAGAAAAACACATGCTGAGAAACAGAGAAAGAACAGAAATTGAAAAACAAAGAACGTGCAAACAGAGAAACAGGCATTGAAAATCAGAGAAAGCACAGACTTTGAGAGACGAAAACAGAGAAACAGACATTGGAAAACAGAGAAAGAACAGACATTGAAAAACAGAGAAACAGACATTGAAAAATAGAAAAAGCAAAAACATCGAGAAACAGAGAAACAGACATTGAAAAATAGAAAAAGCTAAAACATTGAGAAACAGAGAAACCGACATTGTGAAACCGAGAAAGTGCAGACTTTGAGAATCAGCGAGAGTGAAGTGTTATTGAGAAACAGCACGACCACAACATCTTCACCAAAAAAGTGAAAACTAAACTACATGTCAATTATTTTGTACTCACTTTCCGTAGACAGGGTTGACGACAGTTCCTGCGCCGGCCCCCGTGCGCGGGGTTGTGGGGTCCCCGGCAAAGTTCATGTTGATCTCCCCTAGGTCCTGCACCGTCTCATCGGGAGGAACGTACATGTTGAGGCTCTGGGGGTGGTAGTACAGCGAGCGCTGATAAAATACAGACAGAACTAACGCATGAACACATCGGTTTATAGGATATATTATTCATACACATTAAAGAAGGACTTCCGTAACGAGCGAACACACAAATACAAGAAAGAAGAGACCTATCCCTAACACTAACCCAACTCCTAACCCTACCCCTATCCTACCCCTACCCTAATCCCTACCCCTATTCCTACATCTACCCTAACCCTAATCCTAACCCTGTATTCTACTCTGTATAGTGGTCGCTCGTTACGGAATTCCTCCCCGCATTATGGTTAAAATTTGATGAAATTGAACTGTCACAGAGATGGATGCAATAGGTGGGTCAATATTTATACCGCCGTTTGTTTGTTTTGAGGTTCTTGTTTCTTTTTTTAAATCAAGAACAGAGAAAGCGCCAATTCACAGTTGCAGTTTGTAGATGGTAAATTATACGAATTCTGATTATTCCCAAGAAGGAAGACGATTAAGCAGTAGGTAAATCATTATAAGGAGCCACACAGACAAGTGGTGAGTTAGATTATGTGGGCCAATCATTCTAACGGGAAACAAACGGTGCGTTATCACGGAGTGAAGAGCACAAAGATAGCTTAACCCTATCCGTACGTCGTGTTTTACTATCGTATCCATGCGACGTGGGGAACTCTGTGCTACCACTTAACCCTATCCGTACGTCATGTTTTATTATCGTATCCATATGACGTGAGGAAACTCTGTGCCACCACGTAACCCTATCCGTGCGTCGTGTTTTACTATCGTATCCATACGACGTGGGAAACTCTGTGCCACCACTTAACCCTATCCGTGCGTCGTGTTTTACTATCGTATCCATACGACGTGGGGAACTCTGTACCACCACTTTCCAAAGAGGAATTAATTTACTCGTTAATCCGATCCGTACGCTTTGCATAGCAGTCTGTCAAAATGTTTCTTTGAGAAATACTGAAAGTTTCAAAGAGATCTTCGCAACTAGAAGTATTCTAAAATGTGAAGAGAATACACCCCTAGGGGTACAAAATGACCCCAGGCGTACGGATAGGGTTAAAAGTTGATTCCACGCCGCATGTCTTTAGGGTTAAGAGTTGATTCCACGTCACATGTCTATCACTTAGATAGAGGGAAACACATTTATCTAGTTAGTAGATTAGACACTACAGCACACCTTTCTGTCATTGAGGGGGAAGAAGAAAGCAAATTGGAACATTAGAATGCTTTCGTCTGTCACGGAAAGGACATATTAATTATGAGGATAGTTAGCAAATTTAAAAAAAAGAAACTGCAGCAAAACATAAGTACACAGACGGTTAATGAACAAAATGACACTCGGCTATCGAACAATAATTTCCTTCTTCTTCTTCTCTTCTTCTTCTTCTTCTTCTTCTTCTTCTTCTTCTTCTTCTTCTTCTTCTTCTCTTCTTTTTCTTCTTCTTCTTCGCTCTGCAATAAAAGACTGTCTTTTACCACTATGTATGCATGAGTAGTTTTGGTTCCAAGCCAGGTTTCTATGTCCTGTTCCTATCTTCTGTTACGTCTCGTGCCTTCTACCTTTGCTTCCACAATACGTTTCTCGGGTGAATCGTGGCTTTTGATATTCCCAAAGTAGTTGTTCAATTTCAATTCCAGGTTTTTACGCTTTGGGGGAGTATTGGTGTTTCCCTTCCAATAATAAAATCTATAATATTATAAAAGTTTTTCTAGAACATTCCATAATTTTGAAAGCTGCAATTCTTTTTTTTTCATTGTATTCATTGATGGCCAAAGCTTCATACCGTATATTGCGGTGGGGAATATGGTAACTCCCAGAACTTTAAATTTTTGTACCCTTGCTTTGTCCTAATCAGATTGATGCCACCTTGAACAATTTGGATGTCGCGATTACATTTTTCGCTTTATCCATGTGGCAAAGAAGATTATCCAATAAATGAGACGAAGCTTAATTATCCCTGCAGATATTGCCTGTAGGCCTACACTAGACGATGTAAATCTGTCATTGGAACGAAGGAAAAAACTCGCGCGTGCGCACTCACGCATACACATAACATAACTCACACATACACAAAACGCGTGCACACACACTCATACACAAACACACACACACACACACACTCACACACACACACACACACACACACACACACACACACAAACACACACACACAGACACAAACACACATATACATACACAAGAGCGCTCACGCACACACACGCGCGCGCGCGCACACGCATACTCGACACACACGCACGCATGCACGCACGCACGCACACACGCAGCATGCACAACACACACAATACACAAACACACACACACACACACACACACACACACACACTCACACACACACACACACACACACACACAAGCACGTACAATGCACAAGGGAGATACCCACACAATACAAACAAACCACACATACAATATTATGACATAAATCGTGTCGTTCAGCTGTGTCGATGGCCAGCGGATCAAACCTCGTAACTCAAGTTTCTGAACATTCACCACAATCACACTTTACAGAAATCCACAAAGTTGAGAGCAGTAAACACGCTACTGTATCTAAACATGAAACAGTAATTTTACTTCTAAGAGGTAAAAAATAAAAAATAAATGCTCTAGGCCCAAATCCACATACATGTACTTTAAATCACAATTAGGAAACTGTCTGTTTTAACCCTGCCTTATAGGGCCATCCTTTTGTGAGAGAAACGTTTCAGCAGAAAGACGGAGATACGTGTACTTGGTTAACTGGCATTCTAAAGGAGGACTCAAACACGGGTCTTTTTTAAAACAAGGCGAAGACCTAGACACGGAACTGCGGAAGCCGATACTTAATAATAGGCCTACAAATATGGCAAAGGGAATTTTGATCACGTTGGAAACTGTATATTCCTATTCTCAGGGAGGCCAATTTTTTTTGGCGAAGAACAATATATTTCGCTGTTTGTATCATAGCCTTAACTTTCATAGTATTGTTTTCCCCCAACCCCTTTCCTTTTCCTTCTGTCCACCCAACTAGCGCCATAGAAAAAAAGAGTGGTCCGAAAGGGGGGGGGGAGGAGGCAGCAGGGGTTTAGAGAGGTCAAGAATTGAGTAACTTACCAAACATACCCCTTCCCCCACCCCCATACACACGGTACAGCACAAACACACACACACACACACACACACACACACACACACACACACACACACACAAACACACACACACACACCACACACACAAACACACACACACACACACACATCCCCTGACCCCCACCAAAAATGAAGTCTCAGTTAGCACACTAGAACACGCCAATGATGAAGTACTTCAGGGTTTTTTTTATCATCTGAGCAATCTTTCTCTCTGTCGGCCTCTTTACCTATCACTACACTTATCTCAATTCTTTGAAAACATTTTTTTAAATCTTCTGCTCTGGAAAAAACATGAATTCTGCCGTTTCACAATTTTAAGTCCACGGTAATGTATGCCAAGTTTCGACCATTGGGAGCAACAGTTATCCCAGTCCTTAAACTGGAAAGTCAAACTTTTAGGGGAGAAGAGACTTTCCTGAGTATTCCACTTTTCAAAGACGCATGCCTCATACAGTTTTTAAACATCTTTTATTTTTTGAAAATGTTGGTGCAGGTGAAACTAAACAATTCTGGGTATTCTGCTGTTCAAAGCTGCATGCCTCGTAAATTGTTTTAAAATCTCTCTTTTTAAATCTTGGTAAGGGTTGAAACTAGCCAAGCTGAAATTTCGCCAAAAAAAAAGAAAGTTCACTTCTTGCATGTCTAAGATCAGAATGTTTTATTTCTTCTGGCGCTTCAAGAAAAATTTTGGACACTGTCACCATCTAACAGTTTTCCATCCCGATTAGTATTAGATCTACCGACAAATGTTAGTGAACAAGCTCTCCTGGACATGTCCCGACACACTATATCACTCACGGGGTTTGATCCGCCGCTCATCGACATTGTACTCAGAGGGTACAGCTGAGTAATGGGGAGAGATTGTATAATATGGAACATGTTAGTGTTGCTTTGTACTGAGAGGGTACAGCTGAATAATGGAGAGAGATTGCACAATATGAGAGATGTTAGTATTGGTAATTTAAATAATACTTATTATAGTGAAGCGTGGTGACAAAATGATGTTACTTCTCGGATTCGAGCCCTATATGAAAATATATACATCACTCTTATAGATGAAGATTTTACAATTTATAAGTGTGAAATAACAAAAAGCATGTTATACTTAAAGAATGAGGCATCATCAGAAAATCTACAAATTTGACCCTAGTGTCAATTTTATCAATTCTTTCGTCAATGTCTGACAATGACCAATGCGGCTGTTTTGATGTCAAAAAATTTATATTTGCGAAATCGAAAGCCTAATCAGTTACCCTACTTGTGGGAAAAAAATCAAAGTGAAACTATGACAAGTTTTTTTTAATAAATTAGAATTCAAATTTCGGCTGCACTCTATTTTTCAAAGGTTACGCTGACTAAAAAAAACCCTCTTTTTCGAAACTGCTTTGGATTTTTTTAAAGCGTTTTGTCAGCTTATGGCAATGCGGGGGAGAATATTTGTGTCATGGCACGGAGGAATCAGGCGCTCGTCAATTTTTGGGCATGTGGAGTTATTGGTATAATCTTAAGGCTTGCTCTATTCTCTTGCTTTCGATGAAAATATATGCGTCTATCTTTTATAGAAGTAGAGATATTTGCGTATGAAAGAGGAGTCAGAGGTAAAGTTCGTGAGAAAATGACTACCAAAGTTTGGTGATTTCCAAAGCTTGAGTGTCCTTGAGGGGACACTACACATTTACGTTTTTTGCTCACCTTTGAATAATGTTTTTGAGTAAATCAGCACAGAAAAGTGTTTTTAAATGGACATGAACTGTTCTGGGCTAAAACCGTTACAACAAAATTGATTTTAAAAATTGCCCAACCGCCGGGGGGGGGGGGGGGGGGGGAATGTCAACATCATCGATATCATTATTCTGACGAGCGCCTGGTTTCACCACGATGCCACATATTTCTTGAAGAGATAGGGAATAATGATATCCTGATTATAATTACTTCTGGCTTCTGCTATGACCAAAGAGTTCTGACAGAGAAGGGTTTGAGACACTCCGAACATTTTAAAGTTTCATTTCTACTCAGAGCAACAGCGCGGGGGAAAATGGAAGGTTCAGGGGCAAGGAACAGCACAATAGTTCACAAAATGACGCAACTGCTTCACCTTTTACAAGTCACAAGATTGCTTTTACACAAAAAGTTAATTGGAAATATGAATAGGTTAGCATTTTCAGCTAAAAGAAGGGAAGATTTAAAGTTGCAAGCATTATTTGCCAACCAAGAAAAGAAGAAAGATTTGATATGAGGATACAGTAGTGGTACAGGCAAGCGTTATTATAGGCCAATTATATGATATATATGTATATGTATATGATATAATGTGATACAAACAAGAATAGAAACAATAATAATAGAGCATCTAGTCAGTAGACGATCTGAATTCTACACGTAAGGAAAATGGAAAATTCTATTTAGCTCGATTCACAAGAAAAAGAAATGTTGGTCTTTACTAAATATCATTTTAAGTACATACATAACACGAACTACAATGAATGAATACACAATAGCACTGTAGAATAAGCAAGAGTCCTACTCTAAAGCTAAAAGCACAAGAAAATATATCAGGTTTAAACGAAGTACCATAAACATACCTGACAATGTTCTTTCTTCCCATCTCTCTCTCTCTCTCTCTCTCTCTCTCTCTCTCTCTCTCTCTCTCTCTCTCTCTCTCTCTCTCTCTCTCTCTCTCTCTCTCTCTCTCTCTCTCTTTTTTTTTTTTTTTGCAACCACCGAAATGCACTTATATTATTTTGCTTTTCAGGATTTGAGAAATCGACAACAATAGTCTGTCAGGTAGAAGACCTTGATAGTGCCATGTTCAGGTCCATAGCATATCTACCTACACCCATCATTAAAAAATTTTGAGTCCCTACAGAATCCCCAAAAAACCTGTCTAAGACAACCACTTTTCTCCTTGACAAAGGGTAGCCGTCTTGAACAATAAAGTATTTCCACTACACAAAATAGTGGCAATAACTTCCTTTCTACGCTGTACCCTCTCTGCCTTCTGTCTATCATTCTTCTTTCCTCTCTCTTAAGACCATAACACACAGAGTTTTACTTTCAAAAATGACTCGTCTGTGTCATCGTCATCATCCCTGTCATCATCATCGACATCATTGCCTTTCTCACCCCGGATCAGGGCATAGACCACAGACAAACGCTCTCTAAGTTTTTTCTTGATATTATAAAATATCTAACGAGACAGGAAGATAGTCTTTTTTTAACTCATTGTGGAGGCCCGTTGTGGTCATTCGAACACTCGAAGACATAATGTTCTGGAACACTAAAAGATGCCCAACTTCGTCATTTGTACGCAGTTTTCTATTCCGATTCCTTTATCTGATACTTTAAAAGACAGATAACAGTAAAATATACTACTATAAAATATGCAAACTTCTGTTTTGGGTCAGTGCATGATGGTCCGAAATATCCTGCAACGTTGCTTTTGATCTGCGGCTGTCGGACATAATATGTGTGCACTTCGTCTTTAGGTGAGGCAGCGTGGTGGAATCAGGCTCTCGTCAATTTTTGGGCATGTATAGTTATTGGTATCATCTTAAAGCTTGTTCACTTGTCTTCATTTGGATGAAATAAATATCCATTTATCTTGAATGCAAGTCGAGATATTTGCCAATGAAGGAGGGGGGGGGGGGGTTACCTGTTTTCAAAGAAAAGAATTAGTGAGAAAATGGCCTCCAAAGATTAGTTATTTTCTTAGCTTAAGAGTCTGTGGTAACGGAAAGTTTACATTTTTTGAGCCTTTAATCAACGTTTTTCGGAAAAATCCACATAGAAATGAGTTCTTTAATGGGCATGAAAGGTGTTGAGCCCCAAAAACAAAAATTTGATAAATATTCACAAACCGGCGGAAAACTGCAAGTTTGTCCACTTTGATTATTTTGATGAGAGCCTGATTCTACCACGCTGCCTCCCAAGAGTTCATGGTTAGTTGTTGGTTTTTTTGTTATGCTTTTTTTGTTTCTTTTCTTTTTGTTG